TCCCACTCGAATTACCCATTGACCCCGATGAAGCGCACCGCTCTGACCACGTGGTTATGGTGGACAAGCCTCTCCCCGCGTGGGGCGAAAGCTAGAACCTACCTATAACAAGGCAGTACGACCCTTCGGGGTCGAGAAAGGGTAGCGGGAGGAAACCAGAGCCAAGCCCGAGCGGTCCTGATAATCGGAACCAAGCCACGGCCGGTTCCTCCCCACATTCCAAAATTGGGACTTGAAGCCAGATCGTGAAGCCTCACGCACCCGCAAGAGCCAGTGACCCTTTTAGGAGGGGTCGTCACCACGGGCAGCTAAAGGTCGCGCGACAGCGCCTTCCTCGTGAAGTAATGCTAGAGCTCGTAGATGTTTGGGAGGAGAGGTCCAAGGTCGCTCGATGACCTCGTCGCCTTACATGGTGAGAGGCCAATGACTCACCCAAAGCCTGCATCCCCAAGCTCGCAGATGTTTGGGAGGAGAGGTTCAAGGTCACTCGGCGACCTTGTCGCCTTGCGCGGTGAGAGGCCAATGACTCACCCAAAGCCTGCATCCCAAAGCTCATAGACATTTGGGAGGAGAGGTCCAAGGTCACTCGACGACCTCGTCACCTTGCGCGGTGAGAGGCCAATGACTCACCTAAAGCCTGCATCCCCAAGCTTGCAGACGTTTGGGAGGAGAGGTCCAAGGTCGCTCGATGACCTCATCACCTTGCGCGGCGAGAGGCCAATGACTCACCCAAAGCCTACATCCCCAAGCTCACAGACATTTGGGAGGAGAGGTCCAAGGTCGCTCGACAAACTCGTTGCCCCACGTGGTGAGAGGCCAATGACTCACCCAAAGTCTGCATCCCCAAGGTCATAGACATTTGGGAGGAGAGGTCCAAGGTCGCTCGACGACCTCATCGCCCCGCACGGCGGGAGACCAATTACTCACCCAAAGCCTGCATCCCCAAGCTCACAGACGTTTGGGAGGAGAGGTCCAAGGTCGCTTGACGACCTCATCGCCCCATGCGGCGAGAGGCCAATGACTCACCCAAAGCCTGCGCCTTAGAGCTCACAAACACCCAGGAAGAAAGGTCCGAGGTCGCTTGATGACCTCAATGCCCCATGCAGCAAAAAGCCAGTGTCTCACCTAAAGATCGCGTCCCCGAACTCGCGAATCTAATCCCGGTCAAACGGGTCAAAAGGTCAACAAGGTCTCACTCGGATAACATGACCACAAAATGCGTGCAGTCAATCCGCATGTAGCGAACACGCAGAAGCTTCACAAGTCATGGCCAAGGTGCCCCCATGGAAAGGCCAAAAGTAGCCCCACAACCTCGCTACCTAGCGTAGCGAGAGGCCGACAACCCACTCAAAGAATGTTGGTTCAGCACCTACAAGCCTAAATCTGGCCACCACGGACAATCCCCAGAGGAGTAAATGACGGGAACCACACGGTTCTCCCTGAGCTTTTCTCTCCCATTTTCTCGCCCTCTCAACAGAAAGGTGAGAAGCGATTTGTGTACACTGCCATGAGTGGTTCGAACAAAAGGAAGGCCCATATTTATAGGCCCAAGAGTGGACTGAATAGCCTAAGACCCCCACGCCGCATGCCGAACCAAGGGAGGTCACAACTAATGTCGGATGCCCACGTAATATTAGAAAAATTGAGACCAACACAAAAGGCAGGGCCAGTACAGCGTTGACGAGACCATTCGGCCCCTGCCTCGGTCACGAGACCCAATACAAAGCACACTAACGCGGCAAGGCTTAGCAATCACGTACCACATCGTTAGGGTGTCCTGACGGGGTAAAACAAAATGGCCACCAACCACATTGAACCCATCGGCCCGCAAGGGATCGAGCGACGAAGCTCGAATGAGCCGAAACTACAACATCATGCTTGGATGCGCATGCATATCAGCGCTTTCACGATCACTCCATGATCGAAAAATGCTCGGGGGGTACTATCGGGGTCATAACCCCGGGGTGTCACAAGGAATCAATTAGTCGGCAGGCCACGCAGCCCGCAATACATCAGCTATCGAAGGCCCGAATGACTGAGGCCCAGCTGAGCCAAACAAACTAGGTCGGACGCTAAGGCTAGGGTCATCCACGACCTCTTCCTCCTACCTTAGCCGCATGGCGCTCAAAAGGCGCACGACCTCACCCCCATCATGACCCCTGGAAGGGACGGGGAGAGGTCGAGCCCAACAAAGCGCGCCCAATCTAACGAAGACAGGCACGACTCACTGACCTCGCAAGGGCCGAGGGGACAATAGTCACCTCGGTCTGGTCAGACGCCAACCCTACGCCACATAGATTGGACAAGACAACACCGCCCCAGGGCAGTGATGACGGGTACGATGACCACCGGCTAGATATGGTCTGACAAGATGCATGTATGATCTCACCCACTATGGGATGGGATCCACGACGGGGGCCTTGACATAAAAGCCACCCGGATCGACGAGAGCCATGACCCTAACGATCAGGATCGTGGCCTTCAGCTCCTCAAGACAACCAGACGATCGACAACCTGGGGGCGGCTACCAACTCTCGTACTATGCCTCAGGAAACCAAAAGACGATGACGAAGACCACGACAGAGATCATGTCGCATAGGACGGCTGGCGAACCACCACCGTGCCTACAGTGCTACCACGGTCAGCACAGTAAGCACCATGCCACACCATGCCACAATGTGTCCACAAGACCATGATGACAACCACGCCTGGATGTACCCTACAAGACAGCGTAGCTTGCATGCCAAGTTAGCTAGGACCTCCCTCAGCCTCACGACCCTTCGGTTAGGAGAACCTCCTCTTTTGTATGCGCCCTAGCCTCGAACTCTATATAAGGGTAGCCAGGGCTCCCATCATGGGACAGAGACACATTCTGAGTCCCCTACTCATTCACTCATTCTCCATCATAGTAAGGCTCTTGAAGCTTCCCTTCGGGCAGCCCATCGCCTAGCTTAGGTTCTTCTACCTCTTCCACCATTCTTGCTCCCCCATTGTAAGAACTTTAGAGCATTTAAGCGAGGAACATGCACTCGATCATCTCTGAGACTGGATGTAGGGCTCCGGCCTGAACCAGTATAAATCCTCGTGTGTTTTGGATGCTACCATCGTCTTCCTGGAGCAGCGCAGCAATCGTATAAGTTTACTAGTCCGGTTTACGAAACACCAACACTACTCAACTAGAAAGACTACCACAAGCTCTACACAAGGTAACTAAGAATAAAACAAGGTAGAGGCAAGGTGATTATATCGTCGTGGCAAGAGACAATGGATGAACAATCAATCAATAAGCACCAAGAGATGACACCAAGATTTTTACCAAGGTTCACTTGCTTGCTGGCAAGCTACGTCCTTGTTGTAGTGATTCACTTGGAGGTTCACGCGCTAATAGGCATCACACGCTTAACCCGCATCGGGTGCCGCACAATGAACACAAGATCAAGATCCACAAGCTACGAGCAATCCACTAGAGTACCTTTTGGCTCTCCGCTAGGGAAAGGTCATGATCCCCTCACAAATCACCGGAAGATGGCCACAAACAATCACCAACCCATGCCAATGCTCTTCCGCTGATCCAAGCCGTCTAGGTGGCGGCAACCACCAAGAGTAATAAGATATCCCAGAGCTCACACGATCACTAGTGCCACTAGATGCTCAAACACTAAGCAAATGCACTAGAATCACTCCCAATCTCACAAAGATGATGAATCAATGATGTAGATGAGTGGGAGGTGTTTGTCTTAGCTCACAGGGATGTATCAATGATCAAAGTGTCCAACAGAGTGAGTTAGAGCTGGCCAACCTATTTATAGAGCCCCAACAAGTCACATATCTGTTGGGCTCAAGTCTCACTATCTGCGTACTGACCGAATGCGTTGCTGGTAGCACCGAACGTGTCCGATCAACAGCGCCTGGTCACTCTTAAGCCGCCATGTGTAGTTACCGTTAGCGCCCAATGGTTCCCACGCGGGCACTCACTGCCTTCTGATCGGACTCGCCGGTCCCCTGACCGAACTTGCTCGCCCCGACGTCCGGTCACAACACAGAGAGCATCCAGAGACGCTTAGTACTAACCGGACTCCACCAGATTCGGACAAATTATTTTCCAAGACAGAGAGCACCCAAAATGTGACCGGACGCGTCTGACCCCCGAGTCCGGTCGAAGCCACAGCGTTCGGTCAACTCTGCCTCGCGTTTTCAGTTGATGAACAGTGCGCTCATCACATCTGGTCGCACCCTCAGGCCCGCGTCCGTTGCCTCGGCCAGCCATGTCGAGCCTAGGGTTAAGCACCAGACGTGTCAAGTCCTGCCAGGGACAGTGTCCGGTCACCCTAGTGACCTCCATTTCAGCTCCAACTTTATCCCTTGTGCAAATGTGTTAACTCCACCAAGTTTCATCACTTGTGCAAGTTAGTTAGCATTTCACAAACATGTTTTCAAGGGATGTTAGCACTCACTATGTCCTAATGCACATGCATGTAGTCAAATCACCTAGTGGCACTTAGACAACCGTATTTGCGTCGAGATCACCCCTCTTAATAGTATGACTATCTATCCTAAACCCACTCACACCCTCTACGGTGTCTTGAGTGACAAAACAAAATGGCCCTATCAAATATAACTTTGTCTTGAGTCCATTTTGTTTTTCTCTTTCTTCTTTTCAAGTTGGAGCACTTGATCTTCACATTTGGCCATCACCGTCACCATGACCATCATCTAGCCCTTCACTTGGTGTGTACCAACCTAGCTCATGTTAATCACTTAATGACAAGGTTAGTACACTAGGCTTCATCAAACCAGAACCAAACTAGGGCTTTCACCCGTCTGGAGGAAAGAGAATAGGAGCAGACATTCGGGCCCGCATGTAAGATTGAGGGAGGGAATAAGTGAGATGGCTGGTCGGGCTGCTGGCCATTTGGCCCAAGCAGAGGGAGCGAGCGCGAAGCCTTCCGTCTGGACGGACGGACGCCCGCTTTGTAGCATTACCGAATATAATAGTGCGGATGATCCCCGATGGCGAAAAGATCAGCTCCAAGGACTTCACCGTTGGCGGCTGCAGGTGGCACGCCGACTTGTACCCGAACGGCACCGACAGCTCGAAGGATGAGTCCGACTCCATCACGCTCTACCTCGTTTACCACGGCGAGCAGGCCGGCTACCGGTACCACGACGCCTACGAGCCGCTGAACCGCTTGGGGGCGCAGTACAAGTTTTGCTTCCTCGACCACGCCGGCAACTCCGCGTATGAGCTCCCCGCCCAGAAGGGCGTCTTCATGTGCTCCGGCGGCAAAGACGACGGCCGCGGGTGCGGCCACGACACGTTCATCAGCAGGGACGAGCTGGAGGCACGGCGCGCGAGGCTCCTGCTCAAGGATGACTGCCTCGTCATCCGGTGCGACGTCGGCGTCATAGTCATAGACCACCTGAGGCTCCGGTCCATTGCCGTTGGGCCAAAGCGCAGCCGCTCTGCACGTGACGACACCGACACTGAAAGCTCTAGCTATAGCGACGACACCGACACTGAAAACTCTAGCTATAGCGACGACTCATGTTTTGACACTGACAGTGATGAGTCGCGGCCGTCACGGCGCCGGAACAAGCACCGCCGCCGCCGCCAGCTGACCCGGCTGGACGACAGGGAGTACATCCTCTGGACTTTTGAATCTTGATCAGGGGAGGCCCGGGAGGCGCAGCGTGTGAACAGTCGCTGGAATAAAATAAGAACATACAGTAGTCGTTTCACCATTTATGTCGCTAGATAGTTTTATACTCCTATACAAGTACCGTACCCTTATATTTGCAATGTGATCTTGTCTGTTTTAGGTGAAGAGATGATGTGTTTTTTGATATATGGCAGATCTTCAGGTACTCCCAATACACACGTGCCAAAATTAACCATTAGATTATTTTAAATTTAGAGATGATAAGACAGTCTAGTGTGTTCATCTCCACAGTGCACCTCCAACGGCTAGCTAACATCCAGTTATTGGGCGTGTTCGGCTGGCTTGTTTCCAGCCGGCTGGCTTGTTTTTTCTCTCACAGAATCACTGTTCACGTCCTGCCAGAACAGTATTTTTCTCTCACAACAATCAGCCGGAACAGTATTTTTCAGTCCTGCCGAACAGGCCCATTGTCCGGTGAACACATTTCTTAATGGTCCGACAATCCCTTGAAATCATTTGCACAATCATCTTCAATAGTGAAACACATGGGTTTGCAATTGTCCGGTGCTCTCTACATAACCTAGGTATTTTTTTAATTCTTTAATTGATGGAACCGATGGTGATGAAGCCGATCATATCATCGCCGACTTTCACTGCCAAAAGACAAAACTAATGTTGATTGGGTTTACGAGGTGATGGCAATGAACTTTGTGTACTAGTGTAACAACATGAGATGTCATGAAAACCTATACAATAGATACATGATACATTAAACTCTACGAAATGGCCGCACAAATGCACAGGATAGCGACAAGTTTATGACTAGCCATGTATTAAGTGGTAGGTGAAATCTCTCTCAAAAGTATTGGGACTTCACCAATCGAAACTTGTGTCGATATGATTCAATCTTTGAATGTGCTTGAAGGGGTAGGATATGTACGTAGACATGCATTCATTGGAATTAGTTTAGATGCATATAAATAAGAATTTGTCTGTACTATGTTTTAGCAAAAGAAAAGAATCATATACGAAATATATTTCCATATTATTCTTGAATACAAAAGAAACTGAACCGTATTAGTTATGGTTGGTTGGTGTAGGGACCAATATGTGCAAATGTTTTAGCAATCTATCACTATGGCATGGGGGACTCTTTAAACGTGTGTTTGGATAGGGGGTTGAGATAGGTTGGGTTGGGTTGAACCTAGATTTCATGGTGTTTGGTTGGGAGTTGAGATGGGTTGGGTTAATGTTGAAAAATAAGGCATTTTCATATTTATTTTAATCCATAAAAATAACGCAACAAAAAGGAGAGTAAAATCATGAATAAGAAGACAGAAACAATTCATGGCAAATGTTAACATGATGATAATACAAACTATAGAGCCAAAACATATGTGAAACATAGTTTTACATAGCTGAAGCATCACAGACATGATTATAAATATAAAAGATGTGTTCTCAAATATCAAGATCATGATGATCACAAAAATAAAAGGAACCAGAAAACCAGTACTAGCATAATCATCCAAATCAACCAAACAGAGCATGTTGAATATGAAAGCAGTATTGCCTAGGAACATCATGATATTGATAATGAAACTCAGAAGAGGATGAAGAAGATTATACCCTGCGGCGGAGCCGCTCGCACCAGGAAAGGCCATGGTGGTGCTTTTTGTTGTTGTAGTCGTCCCCGCCGATGCAAAGGCAGACATAAGGACGCCGTGAAGAAGCACCGCTCATGGTTCACCAATGAGTAGTCGTGCCAAGACCGACACTCCTAAAACGTAATCGCCCGTCTTCACCCGAGAAGGTGAAGCCCACGACGGAGACGCGTTCCGGAGGCCTACTCTTCCATCTCTGGTGCTCGCCGAAGGTGGAACGGGAAGAACTTGCGCTGCTGGAAAGTGGTGTACTTCGCCAAGAGAGCTTAACCGAGAGGAGAGGATTTGTTTTATAGGTAGAGGCCAGAAAACGAGAAGCCGACGGCACCGAGGGGTCACACCTCCCTTCTGCGGTGGGAGAGACGGAGACGGAGAGCCAGGAGTCACGGGAGTTACCAGAAACTCCTCCAATCAATTCCTATCAATTCGCGGCTTCAAAAAATAAAGGCCGCCCCGCCCGTCTCGCCGTCCGCCGCCGCCGCCGCCGCTGCCGCTCGCCGCCTCGCCTCGCCTCGCCTCGCCTCATCGCCACGCCCACGCCCACTTGCAGGCGGCAGGCTCGGGCGGGCGGGGCGGCGGCGGGCGGGCATGTGTGTGGCAGCGTGGCATCAGGTGATCCACTTTTACTTCTCAAATAGATCGGCCAATGACCAAGTATTTAAGTAGAGTCGCCTCTCGATTAAATTCCCATATGGTATAAAACCATTAATGCACATGTACGGACCATAGAGTTTAATAGAGTTATTAAATAAATGGGCCAAGCCCATAATATCTAACAATCCCCACCAAACTCTAGGGTACGCAGTTTGGAGTTCTCAGAACTACATTCCTTTTATATACCAGTGTTTCGATGGAGACTGTTAAGTTGAACATCCATCTAGAAAGCTAGCTACACTCATTCACAACTGAACAATGGACAGAACCTTGAATTGACAGTTTTGTGTGAGATGAGTTTCACATAGCCTCTTAACTGATACTAGGCTGCCAAGTGCCTTCCCTCTGTTTGAAGCATATAAGTCACACTTCGAGGCCTTTTCATGAGCATCTAGAGATTACCCACATCTCATAGATTGTGACTAGCAATCGAGCTCATATAGGTGTGTTCCTTATAGGATGTTCTGTAGGACAACATCCCCGCTATACCAAGCCGCTCGGATCACATTAAGAACTTAATCATCCTGCCTAACAGTATTGGAGAGACGGTGCATCTCCAACAAACTGAGCTATAATCTAAGGGGTCTCTCCCTCAATCAATCAACAGCTTGTTTCGCCATCCTAATTCACGGGATCTCCGATCACATAGGATAGGTTACCACTGTTGATGGCTCTATGTGGGTCTCAAACCCAGTTCCCTCGACGCACCTTCTATCACATTGCGTGACAGACCCTTAGTGAATTGATCTGCCAGATTATTTGATGTATGGACATAGTCCAATGCAATTACTCCAGAGTTTCTCAGTTTTCTTACAGTCTTCAAACGTCTCTTCACATGCTTTGTGGACTTCATGTTATCCTTAGAACTGTTTACCTTAGTGATCACAGTTTGATTATCACAGTTCATGGAAATTGCCGGGATTGGTTTCTCAACAATCGGCAAATCCATCAGGAGATCACGGAGCCACTCTGCCTCAGCACTAGCGGTATCCAATGCAGTCAGTTCTGCTTCCATTGTAGACTTCGTTAAAACAGTCTGCTTGCAAGACTTCCAAGAAACAGCACCACCTCCAAGTAAGAACACATATCCACTCGTGGCATACAACTGATCCGCATCAGAAATCCAATTAGCATCACAATAACCCTCTAGTACCCTCGGATACCCGGAAAAGTGAATGCCGTAACTCATTGTCCCTTTCAAATAGCGTAGCACTCTCTCAAGAGCATTCCAGTGAGTATCTCCCGGATTTGACACAAACCGGCTCAGTTTGCTTACAGCGAACGAGATATCAGGCCTGGTTGCGCTAGCTAGGTACATAAGAGAACCAATTATCTGTGAATATCTCAATTGGTCTCTTGCAATTCTGTGATTTTTCCTCAAATGAACACTTGGATAAATGGAGTAGGAGCAAAGCGATACACTCACTATACCCAAATCGGTTCAAGACCTTTTCCACATAGTGAGATTGCATAAGAGTTACCCCACCATTTCCTTCCTCCCTTGAAAGCTTAATGTTGAGAATAACATCAGCCTCTCCTAAGTCTTTCATCTCAAAGTTACTCGACAAAAATTCTTTTACTTCTTTAATCACATTTAGATTGTTGCCAAATATTAATATATCATCCACATATAGGCATAGTATCACACCATCACCACCACCAAACCGATAATATACACATTTATCAGCTTCATTCACAACAAAGCCGGCTGATGTTAAGGTTTTATCAAACTTCTCATGCCACTGCTTGGGGGCTTGCTTTAAGCCGTACAGGGACTTCAATAACTTACAAACTTTACCCTCTTGACCATTTGCAATAAACCCATCAGGCTGATCCATGTAGATCTCTTCCTCAAGCTCTCCATTTAGGAAGGCTGTCTTAACATCCATCTGATGAATGATAAGACCATGTGAGGCAGCCAGGGATAGCAACACACGAATGGTCGTCAATCGAGCAACAGGTGAGTAAGTATCAAAGTAATCTTCACCTTCCTTCTGTGTATAACCCTTAGCAACAAGCCTAGCTTTGTACTTCTCAATTGTACCATCAGGCCTCAGCTTCCTTTTAAACACCCATTTACAGCCCACAGGTTTGCAACCAAATGGACGATCAACCACTTCCCACGTCCCATTGGACATAATGGAGTCCATCTCACTTTGCACTGCCTCCTTCCACATGTCAGAATCAGGAGAAGAGTATGCCTCAGAAATGGTTGTGGGAGTGTCATCCACGAGATATATAATAAAGTCTTCTCCAAAGGATTTTGCAACTCTTTGCCTCTTACTCTTTCGAGTGACAGTATTATCATCCTCCTCAGGATTTTGCTCAAGCTCATTGGTGTTATCATCAGCGTGTATATTTGATTCATGAAGTTCAGGAATAGGATTATGACTGGACATGCTAGATGCACCTATTTTCATTGGAAATTCATTCTCAAAGAACGTGGCATCTCTAGACTCCATGACCGTTCCAACAGCCATATCAGGAGCACTAGAATTTATTATTAAAAAACGATAGCCCACACTATGAATGGCATAGCCTAAGAAAACACAATCTACAGTTTTTGGTCCAAGCTTTCGCTTTTTGTTTATTGGCACGTTCACTTTGGCCAAACAACCCCAAACGCGAAGATAAGAAATATTTAATCTCTTTTTCTCCCAATCCTCAAATGGAGTGATTTCTTTGTTC